CAGCAGTTATACCAGATAATACAGCGTCTAATAAATGCCCTGTCTGTATAGAGCAAGGCATGTTTTGAAACATCACCTGCTGTAAGTTAATAAATACTGCTTTAAATCCATGTACTTGTGACAAAATGGAGATGATTTTCTATTTCTGAGTCATCTGGGCAGCTTGCAAACTGAGCAACATGCATCCAGTACTCAAGTGGGATCTTCACAGATTTGATGTGCTGGTGAAATGCTGTAATGAAATTCAGTTGTAGAGTGAGCCTGTAGAGAGTCTCAAGAAATCAAAACAGTGAGATGGAATATCTCAGAATTTACAACTGCCACATTACCACCCTTTTTCTGTTAATCATAGAATGAGCCTCTGTATAGTTATTTGTATTCAGACACTTCTACCTTGTCACATATTTTTACCACCCATTGTGCCACGAAATGAAGCCCATTTACAAGTCACTCTCCTTCTGATTTGATAAATGTAACTGGCAAATGAGTGAGTCCTCTGAATGCCTTGTTTGAATAATTGAGCAGTACTCAATCAGACAACATTAGGCAGTGGTGGCAGCCCACCATCTCAAAATAATTACCATCTGACAACAGCTTACGCATGGATGCTGCCTCCACAGGGGTTCCACATTTAAGATCAACAGATTAACATCACCTTAACCTTATTCCTCGCATAAGTTTGAGTTTAGCACTCACAGAAACCTGCCTAGACCTCTCAGTGGGTGTCACTAATATCTGTGTAGAAATGTTCTTTCCTTGCACAGAGAATAAGTGAGCATGGAAAATTCAGGAAACATACAGAAAGAACAATTTTCTTCTTTCTGCCTCGTGTAAGTTAGTGAATCAAAATAATTTGAAATAGACAGGACGAGTCTGTGTACTGTGACAATCTTATCTCTCCTGTATAAGAAAACAGATTTACTTCAGTGTATCAGAGAGAAAGCAGCAGTCAGACTGCTGGGCTTTATTATTTTTGCTTTATGTATAGTCTGATAATGTTCACAGAATTCCATTTACATAGCACTTCTCTGGTTTTACTCATACACTTTAAGTATCTCACGTCACAAAGTTTAGTATCAACAATTAACCTAACTTAGATATCTTTGGACTGTGTGAAGGAGCCAGAGTAACTGGACACCGACAGGTGATTGAACCAAGAACTTGCTTTACAATGCAGCAGCAGTGCAAACCCCTGCACTACTACGCTGCGCCTTAAAGTGTATAATTTGTAACTGTGCAGCCTTTGTTAATGAGACCAAATTTCAAGTTTGCAGTAGCCCATCATCAAGAAATTGTAAGTTACTCTCTTCCAAAACTATTTAGATAAAACCGATTGTGTGCACCATTCATGGCAAACCAAAGTAAATCAAGAGATAAATTGTTATTTTAAATCATGTGTGGCATCACAAGTAAAAATAGCCCAGAGACAATAGGTACAGTGTATCAGAATGTAACTGCTAGTTATATTCAGTTACCACAGAACATTGCTATTAATAATGGGAGTAATTGATACACAGATATTTGCTGCCCAGCTACTAGCACACAAGCACTACAATGTAATCCATCCATTATACAAATTTACCTCTGCCTCTTCCACAGTCTCGATATGTTCAAGCAGAAGCCTAGGCCCAGTAGAGTCTTTTATTATTTCCTGGAGAGTATTATCAAGTGTGTATTAGTTAGAAGGGTGTTTAGTGTTACTGTTTAGATGTATTAATGTATTTATTTGAATGATATTTACTTGCATTTGGGGAATTGTCAATATAGATAGACGTTGTAAATTGCTTTGGAAGTGCTTTTTATGTGGATATTGAGCATTTTTGTGTGTGTGCAAGAAACTCTTTCTTTATCTGGTATGCACCAGATAGGATTAAAGTAGAGTAGAGATTATGTTAGTTGCATTTTGAATTGGTGTCTGGCTAGAGGGTTTGGCTAGAAATATGTTTTCTTGTGTTTTTTGGAAGAAGAAATAAATGTGCTTCATATTTCAAAACTCCTCTTGGACTTGTGACCTCCACATTTCGGCTCTTGGCTGCTCGACCAAGCTCACACTGAGACAGGGAGAATTTGGTACTTTAGATTTAGATACTGTATAGCTGCAAGTGGCTGATAATGGATTAGTATCTGACACCAGACATCATGCCTAGAATATGTTTCTTTTTTATGGTATTGCCAGCATAGTGTGACAGTTATAAACTCCACCATTACATTAAACCAGCAACCTTTGTTTAAGACAGACTGCCTTTTCCCCTGACTTACTTCTTGTAATTGGGTTTTCACTTCATCTTCAACTAACTGGTTTTCCAGTTATTCCTGTGTGTTTCACGGTCTCTTGGGACAAGCTGTTAGAGAAGCATCTCTGATGTGACAACACAAAAACAGGAAAGCAGTTGTGTGACTGGATGAGTGCAGTGTTGCCTTCATGGAATGGGTCAGTAAGCGTATAGTACAACGTGACAGCCAGCTAGGCATATGTCTGTGCCAAAGTAGTGTCTGCGACTGAGGCTCGTTTACTCTAGCTACTGGATGTGATTGACAGTTAGGCCAAAGGGCTGTTGGCTCCTTCCTGATTTGCTTTTTCACCAGAGGTGTCCTCTGGGACTTGGAATTCATGTTACAGTATATCAGCAGAATAGCTTATGGCAGTAATGTGGATGAAAAGCAAACACAGGCTATCATCTAGTGTGGGATATGATGAAGTGCTCTAGTTTTTCATTAATTCATCTCACTGAAAATTAGAAACAGCAGAATTTTATTAAACAACAGACAGTTATTTAATTTGAAAACTTCCCTTTATTCATTTATTTATTTTTAATTTTGTAAATCATCATTGTTGCCATACAGCACACTTTGTAATTTAAAACAGGCCTAGAGCAAGACTTGTTAAAAAAATAAATAAATAAAAGACGTCAAAAGCTGTTAATGTAAAGAGGCAACAGCTCATTGCATGAACCAGATCATGATATCTATTTTTAACTGTTATTTCAGTGATGGCTTACAGTACAGTCAATCCTGTGGTTAGTTAAAAAAAACAACTAGTTTTAAAAATGATATGTGGAAAACAACTGTGACAGAAGTGGGGAGTTTTTGAAGCATTAACCTTTAACTTAGCAGCGGCTATCACATACATCTGTTCAAAATGCATGGTTTTTACAGGGACTGCTTGACAATCCTTGATGTTTCGGATCCTTTGAACACACAAAATCAAGAGCAGATATCCCTGCCGTGGGTAAATTAAAATGTTGACAAGAAAGGAAGAAAGGAGAATGTGCTCATGAATGGCATTCTAATGAACTACAGCTCCCTAGACAGAAAATTAGAATAAACAAGGCATATTTTTTTAACCACCATACTTCATCCAGGTGTCATAGCATATCATGTCAGTGTATAACTTCAGGTATAACGTGAGCATCTCTGTTAAAGATGTTGTTTTGAAACAAATTTTTATCCTTAGTTCTAAATCTGGCCTTGTTCCTGCTCCTGTGTTTTTTCATAGACATCCACCAACAGAGTCTGATCTAATTGGTATCCCCACTCACTATTTGCACTACCTCTCCTAACTCCTATATGCAGTGTTTCAACTTCTTTTTAATAAACCAAAGTTTGACCCTGTGTCTGCTGAAAAATTCAGGCCCATTACCAACCGTTGTTGTCATCCAAGGTCTCAGAAAGAGAAAAAATAAATAAATATTTTATGTCAAGAAATATTACAGGAAATGAATGTATGAATGTAATGAATTTCATAAAACATTGAAAATCATCGATTTTGTATAAGAAAATGTTCAATAACTGTTTGAATTATTTAAGAGTCCGCTGTGCAGCCTTTGATGCAGCTCGGTAGTGTTTTAAAGTAAACACAATAATGAATTGGAGAGTGACTATTTTCAATCATCTCAAGGTGCCTGATTTCACCATAGCCATAACACACCGACGCCTAATATCATTTTGAACCATAGTATCCATTTTCATGAACTTTCATTAGCAAGTGAGTAAATAGTAAGTTCTGGCTATTAAACTCATGTTTTTACTGGGCTGCTTTTGGAGTATTCAAAATTCACAGAATATGAATTTTAATGAATTAGGGACCCAGTGAATTTCAGGCCAGTGTGTACTTTACTATCAAAGTTTTCTAGAAAAATTAGTAGTTTTAAAGTGCCGGGATAATTCATGGTACCCTGAGATTGAACCTGCTGAGTGTGTTTAGTTCGAGGAGGATACTGTGGTGTCCAGCACTAGCCCATTAGCTGTGGAGCCTTGCATCCCGTAGGCTGTAGGTGACCTCATGGAATCAGGGTTGTTTTGTGTAGATTCTACTCAAAGGATAACATTGCATTGTAGCAAGATGATCAAAGTTTTTCACCTCACCCAATCAGGTATTTCAATGTTGACCTGATCATTGCTAGTATAGAGTCACATAGGCTGATGTCTATGTCCGTATGCCAATGTCTTTTGTGCACTTACCAGAGTGTAGCTCACTTGCTTTTATCAGGTACTTTTACACTGAGTGATTCAGCCTCAAGTAGTCAGACTTATTACAGTTTAAATTTTTAATGCATGATCATTTACTTTACTTCTTATCTAGACTTGCCTGTTTGTGTGTCTTTAATAGTTGTGCTTTGCTTTCATGTCTCTTTCTGTGTTTTGGTGTGTCTTTCCTTTGCACATTGTACCGCTAACCCCACCTAGATATATACATGGTGTTGCATTTATCTGCAGAGCCCATACATTCAGTATGCCCTCAGAGTGATGACTGTATTATCGGAGACAGATGGGCGATTGTCTCCTGCGACAGTCTACTTGACAGAATTATCTTTGAACTCTTAAATTACAAAAAAAAAGTCATAGAGTTCTGTTAGCCTGTGGCAGCTCAATCTTAAAGGTAATTTTTGGTTCACATAATGGAACAGCTGAACTTGAATGAAAATTTAAACTAGTGACCTGAAGTAGATTTTCTTAAAGAAATGGTAACGACCCTTGCTCTCTTTTTTTATATTTCTAAGTGTTGCGTGATGACTTCAGGCAGAATCCACAGGACGTGGTTGTGGCAGTTGGAGAGACTGCCAGTTTTGAGTGTCAGCCGCCACGTGGGCATCCGGAACCAACCACCTTCTGGAGGAAAGATAAAACTCGTCTTGACCTCAAGGACGACAGGATCACAGTAGGTTAATTCCCTTAGGGAGGGGACTCCTTTGCTTCTTCAGGACCTATACACTAAATCACATACTCAGCTACTCACATTAACCCGGAACTGTCACGGGGGTAAAGGACTTTGTATTGAACCGGTTCATTCTAGTTACAGGTGCCTTTTCTTCCTCAGGTCCGTGGAGGAAAGCTGACCATCTCAAATACCAAGAAGAGTGATTCAGGGATTTATGTCTGCGCGGCAGCCAACATGGTTGGGGAGAGAGATAGTGAAAAAGCTCAGCTCTCAGTTTTTGGTAAGAAGTCTGACACGCACATATGCTCGGTTCAGAAAATAATAGATCATAGCTTTTTTTTTTTTTTTTTTTTGCCACCTACATCATTTAACCAGTATATCAAAAGTAAATTTCGCCTCTGTATTATCTTTCCTGCCGACATCCAGAAAGACCAGTGTTTGTGCAACGGCCAGTGAACCAGGTGGTCTTAGTTGACGAGAGCGTAGAGTTCAGGTGTCAAGTCCATGGTGACCCGCCGCCTGTGCTGCGATGGAAAAAAGAGGATGTGGATATTACTCGTGGCAGGTGAGGACTGTGACTGAATGTGTTTAGTGCACGTCTGTGTGCCATGTGCGCGTTCGTGTTTGTGTGAATGTGTACCGATGCTAAAACGATAATAGATAAATGTTTGAGGAGAGCTAATGAGTCCCATCAGGAAAAGAAGTTTTAACATACTGTATTACTCATGGGAGACTTTAATTAGTCTGTCAAAAAATTATTTATTAGCTGCAGAGAATCTCATTTTTTTGCTGTTTGAACTCCTCGGCCAAAAAGCACATGAATGTCTGTCCTTTTGTTCTTTTTACTAATGCCAGCTTTGTACAATTCAATTGTGGCACAAAAGGCACTAAAAGAGATGGAAACACAATAGGATCCTATATACTGTCTATAGTATAAAGGAAAAAAACTACAATAGCCTAGTAACTGGATATTCAGCTGTAATGGTGTTTATTTAATCATGTCATGTTTTAATCCAGTTTATGGTAATTTTGCAATGGATTGCATTATAATATGTAGTGTTCCTGCGATTTGTTCCACACATTTAGATCACATCATATGCATATGCGTGTATCACATAGGAGTATTCATTTTAAAAAGTTATTATTAGCCTATCATTGTTTGTCTTGTGCTTTATATGCTTTAAATATATGATCTCTGTATAGAAACAGTGTGATTCAGTCACTACATTTCTCTAACTGAAGTTTGAAGTCTGAAGACTGATAAATTGTCATTGTCTGAAGTATGTAACTTACATCAGCTCGTCATTTCAGGCATTTTTCAAGGACTTTACAAGATGTGATATGAATCAGATTTTTATCACAAACTGTAACAGACAATTACATTTAATTAAATTAAAAAAAAAAACAACCATGGCAAGCATTCTGTCTAAACTATTTCATTATAAATATTATCAGCCTATCAGCGAGTACAGCTCTAGGTACACTGCAATTATGCTAATTGCAACAGCAGTCTATAGTTATGACTGTTTAACTAGTTTATTTGTTTCTCTGAACTGCTTCTGAGATTCAATTTTGCAGCTGTAATGCAAAAATAATTATAGTTTTTGTTCTTGGAGATGTTTTCAATTACTTTTGGAGCTGCTTCGAAATTAATCAGCTATATTAGTTAATTAAAGCATTGAAGGGTATGTTTTCCTTAGCTGAAACATAGTAGTTCATCTTTTTTATACAAAAATGTGATTATTCATGTCGAAATGAATGCTGTTTAATGGCTTTATTTTTAAAAAGAAATAAACATGGTGTAAGCCATTAACACGCTATAAAGTGCCTCTGTGTTAGATTATATTTTGAGTTAGACTATAACAACTGATTGCCGCCCTATGTCTGGCAGTCTGTCTGCTTACCTATGTTATGCCCTATACCTCAGTACCCCCTGACTCCAGAAACATGTCCTACTTTCAGGCCTACCTCGCCTCACTTCCCTCCTTCAACTTCTTTCATTCTTTTCCGAAACCCACCAGCCTCTTGGGAAGTCTGTATCTGGGTCAGGGATGTGCTGTGAATGGAGTCCTCACCAGACTCTGGACAGACCCCACAACTCCCATCGATATTCCGCCCACACCCTTTGGAAGAGCTATTTCTGATGTGACTTTTTCTCACCCCTTGTGCCATTTCTCTGCTCGACTTGTCTCCCATCTTTGAATCAGTATGGCTGGCTAGACAATTTCACAGGATCGCTCACGCCAAAAGGGACCCGAGAGAGGGAGAGCCCGACTCCTTGCTCCTTTACTCATTCTGTCTGTAGCCCCTATGAGGCACTTATCTAAACTCTGGTAGCTTAGATGTTTCTCTCACTCTAACTTCAGTGATGCTGACTTACAGTATGCTGCACTGGTGGATACACACTGATGCATGGAACATCTCTATGAATTAGTCATTTCTTACTGCTCAGCTCATTCATCATACTCTGTTTGTCAGACTATGCCACTCCCTTATTCTCAGACTGTTTGTCTATCTCTTCCTCTCTCTCTCTCTCTCTCTCCCTCTGCCTTTCTGTCTTTTTTCGTTGCTCTCTTCCACACTCATACACTTAGACACACACACACACGTAAGTATACTGCACAGCCCACACCACAGTGGGTGGTTCGTCATTATAAATATTGAAAAAGTGGAACAGTCAGGGTTCCAGCTGAAAGCACCTTTCATTTTGCCATGCATTCATCGCAATATAATTACTTCCCTTTTTCTAGCACTGTAGAAATTGCCTTAGAAAGTCTGCCTGTAATGTATCAAAAAAAAGGACACAACCCTTTTAAAGCTTCCATCTAAAACATCACACGGTAGTTTATACAACAGCAATTTGATATCATTGTTTGTTTGTTGTTTTTACACTACACTTTAAACTTGAGATTTTTAATTTGCATATAACCGTTATCATGCTTCCAGCTTTATTAAATCAGCTGGGAATGTTACTTGACTTGCTGTCACTGTTCCTCTCTGTCACCAGGTATGACATTAGATATGAAAAAGACGACTTCCTTTTGAGGATAAAGAAAGCATCAGTGATTGATCAGGGAACCTTCACGTGCCTCGCAGAGAACCGTGTGGGTAAAGCGGAGGCCTCCGCCTATCTGACTATCAGAGGTGGGTAACTGGTTGTGGACTCACACTTGGCAAAGCTCATAACCCATCCCTAATATTTTTTTTTTTGTATCTCCCAAAGCAGGCCACAGGACAATCAGTCCTTTATTGCCCACTTTATGAGCATTATTGCCCCCCTGCTGAAAGGCTAGGCCTGGCCTCAGCTTTTCTTTCATACAGTGGGCTGATGTAGTTGATTGCTCTAGATCTCCAGCTAGGCGCCAGATATGAACAATCTTACCAGCTTTAAGTGAACTTTTATGACCTCTCCTGGGGGGCTAATTCTCGATCCAGCCACTCACTCCATATTTACACCTTATCAGTGGGAAGAAGCTGTTTCATCTTTGAAAAGCTCAAGCAAAAATTAAGCCAAATTCAGACCAATAACATTATCTCCGTTTTTCGTTTTTCTCTTTCCTTCTTTTTTTATGCATGAAAAAACATTGTTGACAGAGCTAAAAGGGGATACTCATTTGCATACACTCCACATATTTGTTCCTGGACTCTACTGATATAGCTTCACGTGACTCAAACATCAAAATAATCCTTATTTTTCTTGTACTTGTCCTTGGTGTATTTTCTCCGCTGCCTAAAATGAGTTGGTTTAGCTCTCCTTCCTTCACTTTAAGCCAACTTTCTTTTTTTTTTGGTGTGTCCCGTTTGGATCTTTAGCCATCAGAATTGTTGTCTTAAGGCCAAGAAAGATGCCAAGCGGATTTATTTTACCAAGTGGATCATCATGGCCTTGCCATATTGGTCCATTTGATTGACCTTTATTATAATTATGAATTTATTTTATTTTCAGTTGCTACAAACGGGACAGACATGACTGGGGGATAGGACAGGGAGAAAGAATGAAAGAAAGAGAGGGAGAGAAAGAAAACCAAAGGGGAGAAGAGAGGGTGAGAAGGGGGGGAAGAAAGAAACAAACCAAAAAAAACAAAACACCTGGGTCACCTGTATGGAGAAAAAAAACAGAAGAGAAAGCAAACAACAAAGAGCAACATAATAAAAAAAACGGCACCATCACAATAAACTAGCTAGCAGTAGATAACAGTAGATACTAAATAATAAACGATATTGTGCAGCACGCAAGATAGACAGCGCACAATGTGCTTTGAGGCAGCAGCCAAGAAAGCTGTAGTCCGCGTCTGTGAATACCCATGTGAACACCTGTGTGCATACCTGTGTGGATCAGCATGCTTGCTTTCCAAAGGTTTCTCCATGTAACGATCTGCTAGGGAGTGTGGGGAGCCATAGCCCCTTCCTCCAGGGTATGAAGCAGGTATGGAGGAGATCAAAACTCCAGACATTCAGAGGCCCCCAGAACACAAGAGACCAAGGAAGACCAACAGAGGGGCAGCCGCGCCACTGTCCCAGTAAGAGCTGAGGAGAGTCCCAGATGAGGGCTCACTCAGCAGCCGCGGAGCAGAAGCCAGGGGAGTTGCAGTGACGCGCCCGTGAGCTCCGCCGGCAGCCAGCTGTGCCTGAGTGACCGAGCCCCAGGCCGAGAGGCCGGGGCACCCCACCTCCGAAGTGGCCCGAGCGAGCCCCAGGCTCCAGGCCCCGATAAGCGGCCGCCAAGGAGTGAGCCGGTGTGTACCCGGACGCCCACCCCCAGACACAAAGAACCACCAACGCACCGACACCTGAGGGAGTCCGCCACTGGCAGGGGAAGTGGTGGTGGGTGGAGATAGGCCTCCAAACCTTGGAGGGCCTGAGATGTCCCCAGAGAGGTGGCGTCTGACACCCAACCTGACATATAGACACAGACATACAGGCACACACAGATACAAACATCCATTCCCACCCTCATGCTCTCATATGCACTTACTCCACACTCAACCAACATGAAGACAGACATAAAGAGACGCTGTACACACAATCACACTCCCCAAGCGTACTCTACGAACCGGGTCTAGGTACCCTTGCCCCTGGAGGGGAGAACTGCACCCAGACCCAGGTGGTGTTACCCTTTTCCCTGCGGTGGGGAGAGGCAGACCGCCCCGACTCCGCAGCAGCAGGGAGGCCCCACACTCCAGACCGCAGTCGGACGGCCAACTCCTCCTAGCCCCCCCGCTCCAGCAGGCCGCAGAGAACGGGGGTGAGAGAAGACTCCAAACCTCCCTCCACCCGCTCATTGTAGTGTTGATGCATGTGTGTTCTAAGGTGCATTTAAAACCCAGGAGGGCATGGAGCTACCTGCCAGAGAGCAGCAGGTAAGTGCATAGTCCCTCCTGCTAGCCCTCAATGTCTACGTGTATTCAAAATTGAGAGGTGGGCAACGACGCCAGGGGTGAGGTGTACACCCTGATGGTAATTTGGACTCCGTGTATCGTGCCCACCCCCAAGATCCTATATGTATGTGTAATGAGAGTGTGAGTAATGTGAAGGTCTAAGTTGTGGGATAAAATTGAGGCAGAGGCAGCCAGAAGGGGACAGGGGGGGGGTAGCCTCCTCTGCACCCCTACTCCAAGGCCCTGCATATGTGGGTGGTTGTGGTGGAGCGGGAAAAGGGAGGCAGCTGGAGATGGGGAGGGAAGGAAGGGAGGGGCAGGTGACCCCTCCCTGGGGCCAGCTCCCCCGCTGACCCCAGTAGGCACTCCCATACTCCGCAACCCGTCAGGGAAAGGGGGCCCAGGCCCATCCAGATCGGGGCCCAGCGCAGCAGCGCCCCCCGGCCCCACAGCCAACTTTCTTAACGAAACATAACCAAAAAGGTTTGAATGGAAGGCGGATGCTGTGTCCACAACCAGACCTGTGTGTCTGAATTAACCATATTAAGATTATCTGCGCTAAATGACATCACACAAAAAAAGCCTAAAAACAAACAGTTATGGAGGTCTAAAGTCTGAATTATGGATTCAAAAGGATTACATTACCTCAGCACATATTCTGACCTTCTTATTTTAAACTTTGGACATGTTAAATGTCAGCTGACACTTTGATGATAGAACAGACTGTATGTATGACAGAAGAAAGGAAACCAAGTGCAGCTTATTTTGAATCACCTAAAATTATCTTCTTAATTATCTTAACTTCTTAACAACAAATGCATAGAAAACACAGCATAATGTACACAACATATCTCATCTTTAATCAGCCCGCTCTCATCAATGATCCATTTCATTTACATGACTTTTAATCTACCAACAGATCTATTAAGTTTGCAAGTCTGTTAGTCTTAAAGCTGATAAATCATTAGCGATATAACTGTTCAGCAGTTTTTTGCCATCAGTTTCTTATCTCACAAACACCAACAAGGTACTATTTCCTTAAGGTCCACGTCATCACCTGCTTTGGTGACTGATTTTTACCCTCCCTGTCCCTGAGTTTCATGGATGGAAACCCAACTCCATCTCATTCATCTCTGATTTTCATTAATTTCTTTTTTTTTTCTGTCCCTCTGTTCTACTCCTCTGCTTTCCTTCTCTCTGTGTTGTGTGTAAATCTCACTCACACCATTGTTGTGTCATCAGCTCGCCCCGTTGGTAAGTAAGAGCTGATCCCATTGTGCATGCGCTGCTCTTTGTTTTTAATCACACACCTGTTCAGTATGCATGTACCGTTGTGGCATTCCACAAACGCAACCATCAAACTAATTTTAGACATGCATATATAGGTTGTTTTAGTCAACCACTGATTTATTCCCGCAGTCCTTAAATTTACCACGTCACTTTAAAAAGAAATAAAAGGAGTTACAGATATGTGAGATGTGCCTTATTTAGAAAAAAATGAAGATATATGGGCACTCTAATGAGTTATTATTAAATATTCTGATACTTTGGCAGCTGGATTTAGCTCATTTTAGCTGTATAGCTTTTCAGTGAGTAAAACCCAGTGCATGAATCCCTTTAATTAGCAGCTGGACATTCAGTTTATGGATTTTACTTTGAAAGTTTAACTGGAGTCCTGTTAAAAACACAATCAGAATTCTGTAAAATTGCTTTGCAGTTGTTTTATGTTTTCTTTTGCCTTTAAACTCAGAGGCACCTCAGTTTGTGGTGCGTCCCCGTGACCAAATAGTCGCTCAAGGACGAACAGCAACCTTTCCCTGTGAGACCAGAGGAAAACCTCAACCCACAGTCTTCTGGCAAAGAGAAGGGAGCCAGGTAAGGATAAAGACTGTGATTTGAACGATATGTACTTATTTTTATTTTTTAGTAGGGTGGTGTGCGTGTCTCTTTTAGGCTTGCATTCCTATACAGGCATCGATTCCACAGCTATCATAATAATTTTTCAAAAAATGGTCAAAATCTGACTACATGGAACAAGCCAATGGAAAGCAGCGCGGTTCTGTTCCACACGCATATAATGAAGTGGTCATTTATCATCAATCTACACTGGTCTGACTAGCCAATTCACTTAGCAAGAGACAATGTCATGTACTGCATTAGAGTCATTAGACATAATGAAAGCAGGCTAATGTCCTTTCCTGCCCATCAGCTTGTCTGCCTAGGGTGCAGAAATGGACAACGCTGATGCCTCAGTTTTATGACCATGACTTCAGGTTATCACAGTAGAATTAGCACTCTTGTGGTAAACAGCTATTCAGACCTTGTAGGAAAGAGACATTGACCCACTTTTCTAACCGAATTGTACACAGGGGAGTGAATATTCAAGTATATTGAAAGCATGTGTTGATGTTGTTTTGGTCTGAAGAATCATTTTGAAATAATTAATAATAACTATAACTATCAGGAATAGTGCGTATCATCATATTCGACCACTGGGGAGCTAAACACATGACCCGAGCATTGTCAGAACACTCACTCAGTCCACTTAATTACATGAACATGATTAGCTGCTCTTTAACACAGATATCTAATCTAATCATGTCAACAACTCAATGCATTTAGCCTTGTAGACATGGTCAAGATGACCTGCTGAAGTTCAAGCCAGGCTTAAGAATGGGGAAGAAATTAGATTTAAGTGACTTTGGCATGGTTCTTGGTGCCAGACAGGCTGGAATAGCAACAACACCCTGATCTATTGGGATTTTCTTACACAACTGTCTCTAGGATTTACAGAGAATGATCCAAAAATATCCAAAGAGTGGCAGTTCTTTGAGAAAAAAATGCCTTGTTGATGTTAGAGGTCAGAGTAGAATAGCCAGACCTCTCCCAGCTGACAAGGAAGGCAACAGTTAGTCAGATAAGGTTGTTTTGTTACAATTGTTGCAATTATACAGAAGAGCATCACTGAATGCACAACATTTTGAATCTTGAAGCAGGGTATAGCAGCAGAAGACCACATCAGAGAAATGCAAAACTGAGGCTACAATTTTCACGGGCTCAACATAGTACAATTTTGGATAACACTGGAATTCCATTGTCTGGTCTAATGAGTGTGAATTTCTGCCTGGACAGCTAGCTTGTATGGTCAGAATTTGGCATAAAAAACATAAAAGCAGGATCCATCCTGCCTTGGCTAAGTAACTCAGGCTGCAGGTGTAATGGTGTGTGAGGTATGCTCTTGACAAACACCGGGGCACTAAGTACCAATTGAACATTGTTTAAATGTCACAGCCTACCTGAGTCTGCTCGCTGACCATGTCGACCCTTTATGACCACAGTATACCCATCTTCTGATAGCTGCCTCCAGCAGGATGCTGGAACATTAAACATAGTTCACTGTACTCAAATGGCATCCACAGTAACAAGATCTCAATCCAACAGAGCTCTTTTGCAGTGTGGTTTAACAGGAGATTTGTGTCATGGATGTGGAGCTGACAAATCTACATCAACTGTGTGATGCTATCGTGTTAATATGAACCAAACCTTTGTGCTACTAAACAAGTACATCATCTAGTGTATTTACATTTCTCCCCACTGTCCCTCCCAATAGGATCTTCTTTTCCCCAGTCAGCAAGCACAAGGAGACAGCCGAGTGTCTGTGTCTGTGAATGGAGAGTTGACCATCTCTCCTGTACAGCGCTCAGATGCGGGGTACTACATCTGCCAAGCCCTCACTGTGGCCGGAAGCATCATGGCCAAGGCCCAGCTTGAAGTAGCAGACGGTAAGACGAGAGTGGATATAGCAGACACCATCCTCACAGAGAGAGAAAATGTTTACCTATGAAGGAAAATACCACTTATCGAGTTATGCAATTTATATATACACAGTTCAGCTGGATTAAAGAGCAAATAGGATAAAAGAAAGATGAGAGATGTTAAAGAAAACTTTGCTTCCTGAAGTTACAGTGATTTTGCAATGTTGTGCAAAGTATATCAGCATAATAACATTGTGCATAACTTAAGAGTCTCATCAATGTTTATTATTTTGATGGGGCACATATAGCTTATAACATTACTCAAACACTGAACACCACTGTATCAAAGATAATTTATCTGCCCACATTTACTGGCAAAGATACATCTGTATCTTCTAAAAGCCAGCCACTGATAATGAACCTTTCCATTTGCACCTTACTTTTTTAAAGACTGAAAACATGTAAAATAAAACGATCTACTTCATGGAGAGATGCAATGCTTCTTTTTCTTTTGACAAAGCTTTAATGTCAGCATTAAGTGCTGAGCTGCTGCCAGCTGGGAGCTGTTTATGCCCTTCTCCCCATTTGTTTCTTGGCTTTTTCTCCCACACATTATTAAATTAGCATCTGTTGAAGTGTTTTTTTTGGAGAGCAAATGACTTCTGTTCTGTCACTCAGAGGAGATAGATAAATATCAAAATGTAAGGTGTAGAGCGCAAGGGATAGGATAAATTCCTTTGACTTATGGCTGAAAACAAAGATGGATAGAGTTGGCGTGACGCCTGGGATGTTTGGAAGCTTGAATTGTATCGTTTTGTAGCATGCACTAAGCTTGTAAGATCAGCTGCCATACTGTATGTGTCCACTAGATTAGGATTTTCTGAAGTGCTGGTTTCTCTAATATGCCATAAATGTGTGAGTGTAAAAGTACTTTATAACTATGTAAGTATAGCTATAACTTTAGCTATTTTTTTAGCTGTGATGTTTGATTGAAGAGTACCAACCTGGACCAGCAGTGTAGAAATTGATATTCTTATGCATAATCAGTAATTAGTGTTTTGATACAGTTCAATAAGTAGCAGCAGGGACTAATACTGGAGAGTGTTCTCTTGCATCCCTGTAACAACCTTGGAAAGCAGTATTGTAATTTTTACTTTTGTCACCAAGGTTTGTGAGTATGATTGCATTTTTCACAGAGCAGACTAAATCAGGAACAGCAATATCATATTTTTGTTTATACCGTAATCACTTGGGATAATGAGAGCGTGCTCTACAGCAAATGTAATATTAGAAAAAGTTTGCTAGAGCATCTTTTGTTAGATAATACATAAACTAATTTTGTGTTGAACTAGAAAAAGTAATAATGGCATCTTCCCATTTATTTAATGTTCACATTTACATCTAAGTTAAACCTTAATATATACTTTCCAACAACACAACGTGAAAATATTGCCATATATGTGCAAACAATTTAGCTCTCTGAAAATCACATGCGGTTCTGCTTACTGTACACTATGCTGCGCCTAGTTGTACCTGATTTTTCTGTTATTCTGCTTGAGTTGCTGTATTGCTCATTGTCCTGAAGGAGGTGTGATGAAAGATAAGGCAGGGAGAGCCTGCTGTAAACACTTGTGTGAATGGAGACAGCCCTGATAACAGTGGAGAGCAGCAGTGAGGAAATTGGAAGCGAGGGATAGTTACAAGGCCTAGAGAGATTCAACACTACCGAAATTACTGTTTGAGAGTGCAGAGGCTGTTTTCTGGATGATATAACATGCTCTAAAAAGCTTTAAAATAGTTGTATTGTTGTTCTGCTTGGCATGCTAATTCTGAGTTTGGTTCATGTGTGTTTGTGGGGGACTTGCCAAAAGGGTGGAGATAGAGCCATGAGTCACAGTGGAAAGAGAGAGGACAGGCATGAATGTGCTGAAAGGTGTTATAAAGAAGGTATGGTAATTAGCACCACGGGTGAAGCATCGTTAATCCTCACCTAGTAATTAAAACTCAAAGGTGTGATGCAGTGCCATGAACACTCCGCCCTACTGTGGAAAAGCCTCACAAAACAGTCAGTTCCTCTCACAACAAATCCACCAGATTGAACCCTAACATCTCGGGCATGCAACCACAAATATAATTATTGCAATCACAAATTAACACCTTGTGATAAGGTCATGTATTTTTTCCCACAAATCTGATAACTCCAAGAAAACAGTTGCATGTTTCTTGCCAAGACTATGACATTCAAATTACAATGTTAGGAAAGCATTCAAATAATAACACCGGATTCTTGATTGTTATACTCAGCCCTGAAGGACCGCCCACCACCGATCATCCGGCAGGGCCCATCCAACCAAACTCAGGCTTTGGGAGGCATGTCCCTACTCAGGTGTCAGGCGTCTGGGGACCCAGAGCCTACAATCACTTGGCGGAAGAATGGAGCCAACCTGCTTGGAAAGGACACAAGGTTTTCCCTTCTGGAACATGGCAGCCTTCAGATCCAGAGTACCAGGGTGGGTTATGTTGAAGTAGCGAGCGATACCTTGTATCTGTAATATGTACTGTAGTTTCTTCTGGGGACAGTGGCCTACTAACCACCAAAGAATAGCTCTAATTGCTAATTTAATTGTTTTCCCCATAACTTTGCTTTAAAAAATGATTGAAGTCCAGTTGGAAGAAGTTGATGGGTTAACCATAGATCACTGGTTTCTGGACTCTTATTTTAAAGGCATTTTCTCTTATATTATTGGAAAGAGTAGCAACTGATCTGCCACAAAATAGTGGTGAATCATGCTCAACTTAAGTGTTCGTTTAACTCTAAATGAAATTTGTGATTCAGAAGTAAGACATACTTGCTGAGTGAAAAGTTGTATTTTTTCTTTTTCTAGACTTCTAGATAATTAATCTTGTTTCTAACAAATTACGTTTCTCCATGCCTGTCATTAGAAAGAATTGAGTTTTAGGAGACTCTTCACTGACATCACTTTCCAGTTACATCTAACTTTTCTGCTCAGTCTGTAGATGTTTAAAGCATATAGAGTAGTGTTTCTTTTTTCTTTTTCTTTTTTGTTTTTTAAGTGCTGGCTGGGCTCCTGGCATTCAATCCATCTTTGTTGCCAGTCAGCTGTTTTCCTAGGTTTTAGTTGTTCACTTGGTTTAGTCTAATTAATTTTTTTAAAAAAGATAAACAAATTACCAAATATATGAAATGATAAACCACAATTGCAGCAAACATTCTGCCAGTTAGCATTACGTACGACCTTTATATTTCCTCATGCCAGATGTGGCAGACGGAATTGAAGTGTCCTTTGCAATAGTTCAATCAGGTCCTCAGGACTAATTAATCAAAATAAAGGACAGTTAATTAATCTTGGAGACAGTGTTTTACCACCAAAATTAAAATGCCCTTGTTATCTTCTCAGCAGGATATCAGTTGAATCTCCTGTTGATTATTGTGCCTTCAATTAATCCCACTGCACATATTTCACATTCCTCTGACCTGTAAATTATTCGTATATTTTGCAGTGAAATCTTTCTCTTTTGGTGAGAAGGACATTGAAGTGAATGTGAATGCAGTTCATAAACACATCAAAGGAAAACAACATATTTAGTCTATGGGGCTTTTGTTTGTTTTTGCATGTGTAGCTTTCACACCCTGCATTGCGTGTGAAAGAATAAAGAGGAATCTACGTACCTGATAAATGATGTCAGCTTTAATGCATTACAGATGAACCGGTACAGTCAGGTTGCTGTTAAATGATGAATAGTGAGTATAGATTTTTGTTAGTTTTTGAAGTCTTTTATATAGTCTGAATTCAGAAGTGTGAAGGGGGTAATAAAATGGAGAATCTCCAATATACGCTGTACTGTCACAATGTCAAAGTGCTCCTCACTCGTGTACTTTCTCTCGAGAGATAACATAGTTGTCAGTCTCTCCTAAAGCATTGCCAATATGAAATTGGTTGTCATATCTACTATTTCCTGTGTCAGCACTAGTGATGATAATGTCGATGGCTTTTGGAATGGCGGGTGACCATTACTGGAGCAAATCAATTAAGAAAATTAATGTAAGCTTTCACTGGGATCTCTCTTTTTTTTTTTCTTTTTTTTTTTTTTTCATTGGCCAGCATTAAAGTTCCCTCTCATCCACTCTCCGGCTTTTCTCGAGCCAAATGCAGGCCAGTGGAGGTTAATGCATTTTTACTGTACTAGTAGGTGCAAAGCCCAGAGTGACGTAAGAGCTTCTGGAAACCATCTGGGATCAGAGTTGGATTCAGCTGTACAAAGCAACAGAGTACACTCGAAAAGCTGTATTATGATGCAGATGAGCAGAAAATGTTTGTTAGTTTAATAGACACAGTGTCTGCAATCATTATTATTATTTTTTTATCATTAGTTACTGTTTTTTAGTGAAAAAACCCCAAAAGAATTTGGTTTCTGTTGCAGTTTTGAAATCTGCCCAGTTCTTGTAGAGTTCAGATGAAATGGGAGCTTGAATTAACTTGAAATTTAAATTGTGTTTTTCTTAGCTGTCTGACTCAGGGCTGTATACCTGCGTTGCTACCAGCTCCAGTGGAGAAACATCGTGGAGTGCCTACTTGGATGTCAGAGGTCTGCTTCAGTAGAAATGATTCACATGTTTTATGCATATCACTTATAACATGGCTTGCATTTGTTTTGTTTTTGTGTGGGTTTTTTGCTTTAATTGTGTCTGTCTTGTTTCCTTAGACGCTACTGACCTCGTTGACTTCATATCTCACAATTCGACCGCCCTCCCAGGGCCTCCCTCCAAACCCGAGGTTACTAATGTTACCAAGAGCAGTATCTCGTTGTCATGGAAACCGGGACCAGAGGGGGGCTCCCCAGTGTCCTCCTATGTCATTGAGGCTTTTGGGTATGTCTGCGACCTATGGCCTCGAGCAACATTTAGTGACCCCGAACTTTCATGGCAGTAACAGATGTGGGTGTTTCTGTGGGCAGTCAAGCAAGCCTGGGCAGTTTGAAGGAGAACATTCATGAGTAGCTCTTTTATTTATTTATATTTATATATATATATATATATATATATATATATATATATATAATATATATATATATATATATATATATATATATATATATATATATATAGTTAATTTCCAAGGAGTACAAAGTAGCTTGTATTTAAATGTAAATAATAACTTTATTGGTTGTTTTTAAGCAGAATATGATTAGCATACTTTTTGTGTGTATGTGTGTGTGTCTTGTGTTTGTTGGACTGACTATTCTTTCACCAAACAAAATGTTTTTCAAAGCCTTTCAATAGTTATTCTGGCGTTTCATTACTATGTGGCACATCATTTGAGCTCCCACTCTCAGCAGTACATCTAGTTACCTCAAATGAATTGTCTGGATTTCTTACATTTGAAGTTGTTCACTGCTTATTTAATTTATTCTTTTTACAGTCAGTCAGTGAGTAACAGCTGGCAGACCGTGGCAGATCATGTGAAAACCACAGAGTTCACAGTCAAAGATCTACGACCCAATACCGTCTACTTGTTCATCATCAGGGCAGTCAATGCTCAAGGGCTCGGGGATCCGAGCCCAATGTCTGAGCCCGTTCGCACTCAAGGTACAGAAATGAGAATGGATTCTAATAAATTTTTAGCGATAAGAATTCCTGTTCCCACTTACATTGCTTGTGTTTTGGTTTTTTTCTCTGTCACAGACATTAGTCCTACAGCACAGGGAGTGGACCACCGTCGTGTGCAGAAAGAGTTGGGGGATGTTGTAGTCAACATGCACAATCCTGTTGTCCTCAGCTCCACTTCAGTGCAGGTCACCTGGACTGTGAGTACCCACAACCCTTAAAAGATTTGTAAAAGTATAGCCGAAGTACCGACTGTTACCTTTGGAGCAATATAAGAAAAACAAATCTGGTCTAAGCTTGTTTGAGAACTTTATACCTGGCACGTCACTTTGTTTTGGATTAGCTGGCACACACACAGAATAAATATGAGGGGATGGATACACATTTGTAGAATGAACAGCTGCTGCTGCATCAATTTTGATTGGTGTGAAGCGATGCAGGAATCAAGACTAATGTTTCTATTCAGGACAAATACATCACCATTAGGCACTACATGTGTCACTTCTGGAAGCAGTTTGCAGTGCTTTATCTGGGAAATGTTATTTCTGTCTGTTGGCAAGGTGTCCCAGTGCCTGCTGCTGTAGGTTAATAACACACCTTGGATACATTTACTGCAGTCTGCTATTTCATGCTTGTCAGCATGACAACCGTGTACTGTCACACAGCTTTTAGACTGAGACAACTGTGTTTGTGGTGGATCTGAATAGGTTCACAGGCGTTATTTGACCTGGCTCCATTTAACAGAAGTTTTTTCAGTACCCAAACTTTATGTATTAAACAGTTGCAGCAGAATCTTTCTTAATTGTTGTATTTTGCATGTTATTTGGGAAAAACAGCATTTCCCATTTTGTTTTTTGGATTTTACTCAACTTTAATTTCAGTACTTTGTTGCTCAGAACATAAAGTTGTCAGTCACCTTTGTCTGTGTGGTAGATGAGAACTTCATTGCATACTTCTTGTTAAACTTGGATCTCCACATTTCTGGCCTATATGCACAGCTTGTGCAGGATTACATCAGACATTACATTTACTAGAAACAGTTCCACTAAGACATCAAAAATCACAAAGCAAATTTTTCCTGCCTTATGAAAAATCACATTTCTGTAAAGATAAGGGTTTGGTAGTAATGAGATTTGAGAACGTAAGAACCGGCGTGCACAAACTTCCACAAATTTGGATCAATTGTATTACTTTATTCTATCTTTTGAAGAAAATAGGAATTTGTGTTTATTTTTTATTCACACTCCCAATAACAGTAATTCCTTTTTTAAACATAGGCAAAAAAGGAAAAAGAGATGGCTTATGGGACATTTAGATGCACAAATCATTTTGTTAAGAACATACAAGCTGAGACAACAGAGAGACAGCGAAAGAAAAGAAATAAGCCAGAAAAGAGCCACTCTTGCACTGTTTTGGTGATAATCCAGTGTGTTATTTTCCTTGTAAAAGCTTTTTCTTGCTTCTCCCCCTGTCAAGAAGTACCTGTCCTGAAAAGAACCTGGGAAAATTAAAAAAAAACAAGAGGAAAAACATATTCTGTGCAGATATGGCAAATGCACTACTACTGTCTTTGTACGGTTTCTTGCTTCTCTTCTGCTAATTGAACTGTGTGATTAAATAAGCGGATGTTGAGTCATAGCAGTTTTTATGACACCTTCCGCACAATTACAATGCAGCGTGTCTCTCTCTTTCTCCTTCTCCTCTCTTTTCAGGTGGAGAATCCATCCAAGTTTATCCAAGGCTACCGTGTTTTGTACCGGCAAACTTCAGGGCTGCCCTCCCCAGGGCCGTGGCAGATACAGGACTTGAAGGTTGCCTCAGAGAGGGACATAACTCTCTCTGGTCTGAAGAAAGGCATTGTATATGAGATTAAAGTGCGGCCGTATTTCAATGAATTTCAGGGCGCCGACAGTGAATCCATGACAGCACGCACCATGGAAGAAGGTGAGCCACAAATTAATTCGCATTTCTGATAAAAATTAATTTCTCTGCTGACTTAATGTTCGAAAGAAGTAAGATATAGTTACTAATGCATGAGCAGGAGCTCTTGTGTAAATGTTTCTACCTACTTTCATATTTAGTTGCTCCTACTAATGGCTTCTTGGCTAGATAGGAATGGATAATGGCATTTCAAGTACACCCTCCCACATACGCACACTGCTGCAGTGCTATGTCCCCTGTGTGTGAAAGCAGGTCTCCCAGACAGCGCAGTAGGGCTCTATGACAACCCCGAGCCTCTGTGGGTTGGTGGGCAAAGAGGGCGAGCAGTAAAGCTCAACTCTCTCTCATCTCGTCTGTGCCTGCTGCCATGTCTCTGTCTAAATGTACATGATATGACCTCCCACCTCACTTACACTCACACACCAATGAGCTCTTTGTGTAATTACACTTCCTGATTTCGTCTTTCTCCTCGTGTTATTCATCGGCTATTTGAAATGTTATTAATATCAGACTTCTCTATTCATTCTCAATTCTTTGCAAACAGGAAATGATAAGAATTATCTTTGCATGCTAATGCTATAATAGAAATTATTTAATGCTGCCAATGCAAACATCACAAGAGATGAACCCCAACTTTTATGTTGGGTTTTCTGTGATCGGAGATGAAAAAGCAGATTGAAGTGAAAGAGACCACAGTGCACAAAGCCCAAAGGTAGAGAATCAGGTCATGGCTGCGACTTCATTTGCTGCATCACTCTCGTTGTGTTTTCTCATTGAATGGGCTCTTCACCCCTGGACTCAACCTGTCAGTACAGAGCTTAACTATAAGAATTCTAAGGAGCATTTGAACATTTGGTGGAAACTATCTCAGCTGTGGTGTCAAAAACACTGGCTTTAAGATGCACCAACTCAGCTGTGGAGTGAAAGGTCTTAGGCAGGTGGAGTGCTGACTAAGGAGACAACTTTGAAAGAACTACAAAATTTCAATTATGCATATGAATCTTACAGGTGGAGTCACTGAATCAGTGCTACTCATTCAGGTTAAAGGATTCATGCTCTCATTGATTCTCATTAACTTTCTATATACCTTCCAGTCAAATCACCCAATATTTATTATTTAAAGCCCCTGATGTGAAAATCCACTTTAACCTTGAATATGGTTGTGTGACAATCCCAACTAAACATCCACTCACTAGCTTTTCTTTTCACCGAAATTGCAAGCCGTTACCGGCTCATCTGAAAATGTGCTAAAAGCAATGAGAGTTACTGTCCTCTCTTTGCAAAAGATCTCCATAACAACTGAGCAAACATGATCGGGTGATACAGGCTATGGCATTAAGGTTAACACTGTTTTCAAATTTAATCAATTCCCCTGAAGGTGAGACTGCATTTTGGACTTCAAGAGTAAAAAAAAGTGAATGCACTGTATCATCATTCATTTACAGCAGCTACATATGTTGCCTGTGGGTGAACAAGACAATATCTTCACTTACTTCATTGCATCATTCAGGTGTTGCATCATTTGAATGGTGTGGAACTTGGCTTGCGCTGAAAAACAAGTCATGACAAGGCCATTAATGTCAGAGAAAATATTAGCCCAAAGCATCTGTGTTTGATGATGAGTGGATCACAGGGCTGCATCTTCCCCCCAGTAGGAGAACAGGGCTAGCTTAGTCTAGGGGATAAAGCTGGTGGAAAAAAGAGAGACTCACCTCACTGGAGCCCAATTAAAACGGCCACACAGGATCACAGAGGTCTTTGCAGATGGGGGCATATGGTCTGCTAGAAACAAGGCATTGTGGTAGAGGGGAAAAAAATTGCCTTGCTCAACCTATTCTCTACTGCACAGAAATGCAATTCTTGCAAAAATTGCAAGAAAATCACTTGTTATCCATCAAAGGTAGATTGGAAATGAAGTTCCCTACTGCACAAGGGAGAATTTGTATACTAATGCACCTCACAACCTTTCAGTGAGTTTAAAGAGGAGTGTAGGCTTTCAGCCAGTATTCACAGCAAGTCAAATGAACCCATGAGTCAAGGTTCTATGCTTGTATAGTTGTTAAAATGAGAACCTCTGATCTGACCTGGTCTCATATGGACATTAGTGAGGCTAAAAGCTGAAATTCTCATATGAAACAGAGCTCCCTTCTCTTGCTAGATAGAGTTTATTACTGTTTTTTTGTTTTTGTTTTTGTTTTTTGGGGGCGGGGGCAGATGTGTTGTAGAGTAATGTTCACCAGTTCATGAATTAATTAGCTTAAATTATGCATCCATTTGCATAACAGGTTATGTTTACTACTTCATATCCTGCATAGCAGAACATTAAGCAGCTTTAGTAGCTTTTGTTTAATTGCACAGCTGTGGGTAAAAAAAAACCCTGAAATGTTTACTTAGACATTGGAAGCATTAATTGCTTGAAATTACTCTCTAGCTACAGTTCACATCAGTCCTAATATAAGTATTAGTCACATTAGTAAGAACATAATCTTTGACCTTTTCTTGGTTTTGCAGCCATTTATAGTAATATTATCCTGAGTCATTACTGGTATTCTAGCTATTATTCATCCAAGGGGATTGTTGTGGTACATATGGAAATTGTAGAACTACACTTAATGGTTCCTGTCTTCTCCTAATGCAGACCTTTGACTGACTGGAAAGGCACTGTTTGCTAAAAGAGCACCTCTGAAATGACATCTGGAAAGCTGAAAGTTACTTGGATAATTGTGACCTGATATTACCCTACTTGGAGCACTGAAGGCATTTAGTGGTCACTGCCCTCCTGCAGTTTTTTTTTATTGGTCACTCTACTACTGCTCTAAGCTTGCTCTAAGCTTACTAGGTGCCTTGTGGAAAGTGTATGAAGCAGCATTATTATAAAATATACAGACAGTGGTAGTATTTCCAGAATAACGTGCAATGACAAAAGGAATGAATACTTTTGAAATAAAATGTTAAACGTGGTATAATCAGAAATTATGATCATTTCATTTATTTAAAAAAATGTGGAACCGTATACATGCCCATTATTCTGTGTACTTTCTGACATATAGCATACCTTCTGATTTTATCTGTATATGTGTATTTTCCTTTTTTCAGAAAATCAAAACTGAAAAGATAAACAAACAAAACTGACAAATAAACTGTTCCTGGCTGAGGTTTTGAAAGCCCCCCCAAAATCCTCAAACAGTTGTAGAGGTCTGTGTTTTATGGAATGCTTTGTTTGTTTGTTTTTTGCTCCATCAGATTAGTTATTATGATTAGATTTTTGTCTTCAGAGACAAAAGGATTGCCTCAAATATTATGAGCCCGAAGATGAATATTAGGAGCCTTCTTTGTTCAGACTGTTGATGACTTAGAAAGTTGAATTCCTTCACCTGTAATCAAATTGGAATTACTTGTAAATGTTTACTTGAATGAAAGGAGTAAAGATTTGTGGCAGGATGATATGGTATAATATAATATCCTGTATTTTATATTTGACTCTTCCTTCATTGCGTGTGTATTTTTTCCTTCCTTCTGAACAATAGTCATCTCAATACTGGGACAGTAATTTGTGTGAGTCTGTTTAACGGTAATTGCTTTGGAAAGTCAATACTGCCTAAATGTCTGAATATAGATATCCTCAAACTGAGCTCAGTTAATTTGTTAAATGTAATAAAAATAAACCGCATCTCCTATGGCTGATTTAATTCCTTTGTCCTGCCAGCCTGTCAAGTACTTTGCAGACACAGCCATATCTGTTCATAGCCGCTCTTTTAAGCACAAGCTACATTATACAGGGAGATTTGTTTCATCTGGCAACAAAAGAAATCTATTGTTTTGTCATCTTTTTGCTATGTAAATTACCTGAGGCTGATGTTGAGCTTTGCAGATGTCAAATAACTGGCAGAGGTCAGGATCAAATCTTGCACAAATGCTCTGTCATACACTTCTAATATGCTGTTGTGTCATTAGTTCATATGCGCTAATACATGGCTTGGTGCTTTTGACTTTGAGAGTACAGACACCATGTCCATTTTGAGAATTTGACTCACAACGCCCATTTCCACCTTTACTTCTCAGTACAGTAAGACAGTGCCTTCCATATATTGAAACACTGTGATTAGTATTGTTATTTTAAGCCTCCTTAATCGGGCTCAAACTAGCTGTTTCATCCATTCAGTCAGAACGTAATGATGATTTTATTAGGAATCGAGAGAGACTATGTGCCCAGGGATTGCCTGATTTGCACAGTTCCATAGATATGATCTTTTTGCCTCCTGCTGCCTATAGTTTCTTTAAATTTTACATCTATCTATGGAGGGTGCCACAATCTCTAATTTTAAAAAAGAACTATTAAAGTTTGTTTTTTATGCCCTTAGTCTCCACATACACACCAAGAAATCACCTCAAACTTATTATCAGACATGGGTACTGACCAATTTTATTCAAACAGACATGCTAAATTGAGTGCATCTACACTGGAAGCATTTGCATGTGGCCAATATGGTGTAGTGCGCGTAGGACATGATGAAAGTGATTTACTTACTGGGTTCAGCAACACAATAAGAATCTCACTATTAAGATAAGAAACTGAGATGAAGTACTCCCAGCAGCCATCTGCCAGGCTGGCTTAGGAAATAGAAAAACCCATGTTGTTTGGCTTGCTGAATTAATATGAATTGAGGTAGCGAGTGAGACAAATCCCTCTTTGACATATGAAAAAAGAAATAAATAAAACAAGACACACTCGTTTTTCAGAATAAACTATGTGTAGTGATTTCATTCTTTCTTTCTTTTTTACCTTTTCTTTCTTTGATCTTTTTACCCCCCCCCGGTGTGACCCATCAGCACCAAGTGCGCCTCCACAGCAAGTGACAGTGCTGACAGTGGGAAACCACAACAGCACATCCATCAGTGTATCCTGGGACCCTCCTCCTTCTGACCAACAGAATGGCATCATACAAGAGTACAAGGTGAGCCCAGGCTTCTCCAGACTGAATAGTTTAGTGATTTAGTGATGTACAACCACACAATGAAATCTGTCTGGTGTGTCTGTCTTTGTCAGATCTGGTGTTTGGCCAACGAAACTCGCTTTCATGTCAATAAGTCTGTGGACGCGACCATCCGTTCAGTGGTAGTTGGGGGTCTGCAGACTGGAGTGCAGTACCGTGTAGAGGTGGCTGCAGGCACCAGCGCAGGGGTGGGGGTCAAGAGCATACCCCAGCTCATCACTTTGGGTAATCCACTCTCTCTCTCTCACAAACACACACACACACGCCAAACCTCGAGTCAAATAAAATGACCCCAAGATAGGAGACCTAGGTCTCTATCACAGATTGGGGGTCTGGGAAAATGATTTATCAATTTATCGCACTTGAAGAAAGAAAATTGCGCTTTACAACGCCAGATGTCTATAGAGAAATCAATAGCAGTTCATTAAGTGTAGTGCCTGGTAACACTGTGCCAAGTACTGTTAGCCATATCAATAATCCTCTCCAATATGTGTGCAGCTGGCGCTAACAAAGTAGACAGTGTTTTTGTAGGAGCTTATCAGCCTATCACATCTTATGAAATCACTAAAGGATGCCCAGCGTATATAAGCCCAGAATCAATATGGGAGCTCAGGCCAGATGCTCTTCATCTGTGACTTTTGACTGATATATAATAACACCCCTAACGCCCAGAGAAAGGGAAACAGGCCTGTGGAATGAAGCTTAATGATGGGGGGGTGGTTCCTGCTGGAGACTGTGAATCTAATTTCACAGCACAGTAGCCGCAACAGAAAATCAAACTCTGTCAGAGCTGCTCTGTCAATCTTGTGTCTTGCAGCTCAAGTTGATAAGTGCACTGCTGAATTGATTAACGCTATATTGGATGCACTGATGCTGTTTTTTTTTTTTATTTCTTTGTGTTTGTATTTTTTCACGGGCTCATCTTTCGGTGGTCTCTGTAGTCCATGTGTCCTGGTTTGATACATAGTGTGTTCCACACTTCTTTGATTTGCTTAAACTTGTACATTTTCACCATATTTATTTATCTCTATGTCAAACATTGTGATGATATTGAATAAAATTTTGTTGCAATTTAATTTCTCTGAACTGCATTTTTTCCTGCTCAATATTTTTTTTAATCCCATTCATTCACTCATACTGAAATTAAAATTCTAAATTCTTTCCCTTTTCTCCCTGTGTGGGTGTGTGGTGCCTCCAGGTGCAGAACTGAGGGACGTAATGACAGGATCGGACAGCAACAACAGCATCTCAGATGTGGTGAAGCAGCCGGCCTTCATCGCTGCTTTGGGAGGGGCTTGCTGGATTGTCCTCATGGGCTTCAGTGCCTGGTTGTACTGGAGGAGAAAAAAGAGGAAAGGACTTAGCAACTATGCAGGTAAAAAAAAAAAAATCAATTTACATGGTTCTGCATCAAAACTGGCTCACAAAGCAAAGTAGGTCTCTCTCCAGCGGAAGCTGATGCCATCACAGATGTGACTCCATTTGAGCTGGCTGAAACGCAGAACAAAGAAAATGTATTCAGCGCGGATGGAAATAGGCCCTATTTACTTTAATTCACTGTGCACTGATGTGCATCGACTGTGCTGCGTTCCATCAGCAGCACACCTCAACACTCTAATACATTCATGCGAGATAAGTAATTTAACATCCCCTTCCATTATCAGACCATGCCTGGTGTTGTTTGCACATTAACATGAGGTACATCTAGGTTTATGTATGGAATATTCTTTTATTCCACTGCGAGTCGAGCATGAAGCTGTGTGCAAATTTCATAATGCGTATTGCAGCTTTTATTTAGTGACTTGGGGAGAGAGCAGTGCGATTTCCTAATTCAGCAGGGATTTATGTGATTGAGGGCTGGTTTTCTGATCCCTTTATTCAAAAACTGCAGGAGTTTAAGTCCAAAATTTCATATTTCCATTTGGAAAACAATGGATTCTTTTTTTTTTCTTTCTATAAGAGCCATTGACTTAAAAAATTCATTGATTTCTTCATTTTTAAATAATTTATAGCAGTAGTTTAAAAATGCTATTGCATCAGTAATTGTCTTTCTTGTTGCACACGTATTGTTTCAAGATGTATTTTGGAAGGATTTCATAAAAAAATTGAATTATGATGAGAGTGCAGATCACCTGAGGCGAGCAAAAATAAAAAATAAAAGGTTAAAAATGTCACCTTCATTTAAACTTCTCCCTCAGGGCAGTCAGTGTAAATCAGAAAATGCTGGAATGTTAGCTGCGTTATTGCCCAAGCTTCATCAAAATATGATCACAGTGCTGACATATCAGTGATGGATGAACAAACAAAGCAAAAATGAAAGCACACAATCCATATCTTTTGAACACGAGAGCATTTTGAATCATTTTAATATTTCTAAGCACTCTTTATGCCACTTGATATGCCCTCTGATACGCACACTCTTTATGTCTCTTTAAATTGCAGTTCAGTCCTTCACCTTCACTCGAGCAGGTATGTCTTTACATTGTGCCATTGTATATACAATATCCCGGCAATTTAGGTGCCTTCATTCTTGACAGCAGTAATGTATCAGCCATTCAAATCTACAGTCATGCTGTTGATTACTTGACAGTTTAATTGTTTCTCTCTCCTCCCTCTTTTCCCTCCAAGTGACATTCCAAAGAGACAGAGGCCTGATTCGCAATGGAAGGTGAGAATTTCTCCACTAAAAACCTTCAGAAACCCTACTGCTAAAGCTTCCAAGCGGACATTTCGGTGTCACATGGTGAACTTTTTAATGACACCATGCTATCGTAAAACTTAATATGAAGAGTTCTCTCCTGATGAATGGAATTTGCATTTATGCCCCCCCTTCACCCACCCCCGCCTATTCATATTGTATCAGTGCACGATTTCCACTGTTGTTCACTGTGATGAAATCATTAATCACTCCTTTGAACTAAGAGCTACCAATTAATGCAGGTGTTTTAGTCACCGGCGCACTTCTCAGTTCATCTGAGTGAGCCAGAGGTCAATAAAGGAGGGGAGAGGTGATGAATGTGCTGTTTAAAAAGCTTGGCCTAGAGTAAGTAGAGTCATGGGTTTTATGTGGAGACAGAAGAACAATGCGTCGGACCTTGAGACTCCTCTCAGTGGCCGATAGAATTTCCAGACTGCTCAAAATGCCCAAAGCAAAGACAGCGTGTCCACAGAATATCAAAGTATTCCTGAAAACAACAGGGGGAAAGAGGTGAATTTGCTCTGTGGACAGTGGTTTGCTCTACATATTTGTTACACCTAAGCAAGCAGATAAGCCCAAAGCCAGAACAAATGTTGCAAGTAATAGACTAAAAATAAACGCTTTCTTGTAAAACCCTTTTGCATGAGTGCCTTTCTCCACACTGAAGGTGCACAGACTGCTTGCGCTACTGTGCATAGCTTTGCCCTGTTCTTCCAAGGAAATATATGTAAATATATGTATTATGCTTGTGTAGTTTAAAATGGAAATTATTGACGTAATTGTTTGAACACCTTTGAGCCATCACCAAGTCAGCTGTGAACAACTCCCCTGGCACTTGGTAAATCAGGCTCAGTGGAAAACTCACTGTAAAGCTGCACATTAAGTAAACATATGCAGACACACGGTATGTTTACTTAATGTGCAGGCATGTGAATGTTTTGCCATTTTTACAGCAGCTGATATAGAGGGGGTGTAAATTGTCTTTTTCTATTTTTTGTTCCTCCCTGAATTGCTGCCCACAACTTTCCTACCTTGAAGCGAACGCCTTTATTCGTGGACGTTGTACTTCACAAAGACAAAATGACATGGTAGCGTTCCTAAACCACCTAATGGGCTTTTGCTGTCTCTGTTGCTATGGAGACTAAGCAGCAGTGTAGCTGATCTGCCAGAGGCTGTCCATGATTCTCAATTTAAAATGTAAATTTCTGTTGTGCTAAGGCTCTAAAGTGGATTTAGTGTGTATTTAGGCCTGCCTTGCTTCTCCAGGGAGAGTTAGGGGTGGTAGAGTCGAGGGGAGGCAGAAGTCTGATTTATAGACTTGCCATTTTATGTCTCTCTGTTGTTTATTGTTGCCTGCGTGCTCGGCTGCTCCACGGGCGAGAATATGCTGAATGAGTTTTCGCATCAATTTGTTGTTGATGCAGCAGGAAGAAAATAAGCAGGGCAGGCTGAATATTTAACAATGTCACTGGTTCTCTGGTGTCCTTTCCACCTCTCATCCACCTTTGTCTGACTTTAAACATTCTCTCACAGCCGTCCAGGGTTGTTAAAAGCAGGTGATCCAGGCCTCCCCTGGTTAGCTGACTCCTGGCCTTCCACAAGTCTCCCAGCTAACGGGGGCTTAGGGAGTCCAAAAGGCGGCAGCAACTTTGGCCGAGGAGGTAAGAAACATAAACAAGCCGGAGCGATGAAGAATACGGTTTAGCGATGCCTAGTTGGACAGTTTTGATGTTGATCCCTTGGGAAGCATGCTGACAGGATGTCACACTTAAGCACATATACACAAATAGGTTAACACACACACACACAAATTAAAACAGCCTTCAAGGGCTCTGTTTTACTAATTTGATGTGACAAGCCTGATATCTGGCTTAAATTTGCACTGTTTAGATATTGTTTTCCCCATCATTCTTTGTCATGCTCTGCCATTGTCCGTTTTTCGAGGTTGCGCACAGTGGTTGAAGTATATTGGTTTCCATTATGTGTTTGTATGCCTACATGTTCTCAAAGTTCAATGGAACCCTGGTGAGCTTCAGGCTTTATTCGTGCAAGACTGTTGAGCTGAAGGTTAGCACTGTTTGAGCATCCCTCTTGTGAGCACTCCACCCGGCTCCCACAGAGCATTGCATGCTAATTATGGTTGTTGATAATCACTTTCATTTATATCAAGTCCATTTGAGAAATGTATTTAACTAATACAGAGTGCTGGAGCAGCAGGGAGTGTTAATGACCTTAAAGATCGTTAACTTCATGTCAACTTATCTCTCCATGATGCCTTTTCCATTTCCCTCCCCTCTCTGTGTTCATCCTCTTTTTTGCCTCAGATGTTTTACCGTCTGCAGCGGTGGAGAAAACTGGTACCATGCTGTCTGATGGTGCCATCTACAGCAGTATCGACTTCATGGGGAAGGCAGGCTACAGCAGCCCAGCACGAGGCACTCAGCCCACCCCCTATGCCACCACTCAAATACTTCAGTCCAATAGTTTCCACGAGCTGGCGGTGGATAGGCCAGATCCCCGCTGGAAGGCTTCTCTTCAAGCCCAGCAGGAAATAGCAAACCTGGGCTACTCGCTAACTGACAGACGCCCTGGCAGTGGTATGAGCCACGATGAAATGATCAAGATCTTTGTTTATTTGATTGTTTTTGGTTTTGTTTTGGGTTTTTTTCATTTTATGATAAACTCCTTGGGTCTCTGTGAACTAAGTGTAGCATCTTTGCAGCAAAATCACAAGCACTTTTTTCCCTATCATTTAAATTACTGGGAGCTAAACCAAGGAAAGACCAAACTAGGAAGGAGAGAATTTGTTTACATATTCACTAAAAATAAACCCTTAGGATAATGTCCTTAATTACTCTTCTGTCTTCATCACAATTCTACCCTGGGAGCTTATCTTGCCTAGAAATGTCACGCAATCATGACACATTTCTTTTGGGTTAATTTGATTAGATGGAAGAAGAAAATCCCTCAGTGTTTGGAGCTATTTATGTAGCTTATATACATTTAGTAAAGTCGTGGAGGCTTTTCTGTGTTTTTTTTTTTTTTTTTTTTTTTTTTTGCACTATAGGCCGTGTGCTCAGTTAAATGTCAAGCTAACCACAGATAAAGAGAACAAGTGGAGAAGCAACTTAAAGTGGTTTGCCGCAGGTTTTGATGCCTATTTAAGAAATGTCAACATTTAGAAAATGTTGTAATGTGCTGTCAGCACACAGGAGAGACGAATAATGAAAACTGGGTAGAAGACAGGTTGGGTAAAAGTTCACAGAGAGAAGCAGCAGAGAAAAATAGAAGGTACCTTTTTCCAAGCAAAACCGAATGTGTGTGGACTGAGAGTAGAATAATACTCTTGCGTATTTTGTATAGAGGAAGCTAAACCTCTCTTTGCCTACCCCCAGGTGCAAAGGCTGGGAAGAAAAAGAAGCTAAAAAGTGGAACAAAAACCTCTAAATCAAATGGGACATGTTGGGCTAACATGCCTCTGCCACCACCACCCATGAACCCCCTGCCTGGGACTGAGGTTGACCTTGACTGTTACCCCCAGGAAAATCATGGAGGAGGGTAATGTACATTCATATGTCATCAGTCTCTGTACTAAAATACATAAAAACAGAAAAGAAACACATGCAAACACAGAGCCTGCACTTGGGGCCCAAGCAGAGTGTATGCATGGGTGGCTTTGTGTTATTATCAGAATTTGGATATAAGCTGCCTGTTTAATTTACCTTGTGAAAGAAAAAAGAATTAGCTGTATTAGCCTGTTAAACGCTAGTACCCTAGTTAGCTGAGTGACTGCTGGCCTACATTTAGCCCTTTTGGCTAAGACTAAGCTAAAGTCTTTGTTATGAAAAATGGATGTGGTCGCCATGCTGCCCCACACTAATTTCTGAACTCTGCAATGTGAAGCCTTTTTGTTTGTTTTTTGTCTATGCCATGTTTTTTCGAGTTAGAAGTGACTATATTTAAACCACATGATGAAGCGCTAACAGTGTGAGCTTAGTTAGCAAGCTATATCCTTAACATAGCTGCTAATAAGTGCTAATTAACATATAAACAAAACATTATAATTTAACTCAACAAAATTAAAAAGTTCTTGGAGTGAATTCCTTTTTTTTGTTATTTATCTAGCACCATTTCTACAGTTGTGAAACCACTGGGTGTGTTTGAACCCAACCACTAGCTGGGGATCTTTCTGTGCCTATGTGGGTTCACACCAAAGATATCCATATTAGGTGCTTGTCTTTGGATTATGATAAATCCAAACAGGGAGCTGGTTTAACGGGGGCGGAGCCTCACAGCTGAAGGCTCTGTCTCCCCCACTGTATTGTTGGAAGCTCTAGGAACCACAAGTAAGCCTGCACTTAGAGAGCAAAGTGCTCTTTTGGGATAATATGATATGATGATGAGATATGACAGATTCTGATTTTTCTGAATGGTGGCTAAAGTGCTACTCTCTGTGTGGTAAATCTTCTAGAGCAGATGTCTTCAGGACCACATTTTGCCATCCTGAATTGCACAGTCACACTTGCATTGTAAAGCCTAAACATATTGTGGCTGCTATTTTCTGATCATTTAAAAGTGTTGAGAACACTTTTGTTAGTGGAATATTTACAGGTATTTTCTGTCTTTGGCATATATCTCTAATCAGTTATTTAGGAAAGTCAATGTGGTGATTAACATGAAAACATTTTGTCCACATGCCAGATATGACAACGGAAGCTGGGCACCACCAATGTCTGTCCAGACCTACCGCCATCAGAATTTGGAAAATGAAGTAGAGGAAGAGAGAGGTCCCACTCCTCCCCTGAGAGGAAGGTCCTCCTCCCCAGCAGCAGCTACTTTTAGTCAGCCTTCATCGTCCTCTCTCAGTTCTGCCCACCATGAAGAAATGCAGTCCATCTTGCAGGCTCACTTGGATGAGCTGACTAGAGCCTACCAGTATGAAGTGGCCAAGCAGGCATGGTAAGATTCCCTTGTAAAGCTAGGTTTTATAAAAATTTATTTATATAGCCCTTTTCAATATACAGTAAGCATCACAAAATGCTTCACAACCAAAATGCTAGAACACCAAACAAGGAAAAGCAAAGATGGCTTTTTAAGACCACCTTTCATATTCTTGTTTTTGGTAATAATGTGAAAGTGTGAAAGCTTTGCATGGTAACGCAGATCCATTCAACTATGTTTGCTTTGCTCTGTTAGAGAGATGCATGTAATTTTATTCATTTTATTCTGGTGAAAGTTTGGATTTTGCATATCAATGGAAAATGTCTGAGTGCCTTTCAATGCTGGTATTTACATGTGTCAGCTCAGACCTGCGGCCCGTGTGTCTTGCAAGCGATAAAAACATCTCTCCATTGATTACACCTTTGATGGAGCATTGGAAAACTTGACAAGTCAGTGGCGACATGGAGGGTAATGACTGGGTTTAGTCTTACATGCTGTTCTGACATCAGTAAATAGAGTTAGTAATTATGCATGCATCTCCTCTATGGTGGGATGCGAGCCATCATGGAGGACAGCTGTGCGGGAGATAACAGGCATGTTGGTGACAGCCCTGCCCATCCAGATATCCTTAATCCAGTCCAATTACAACTCCATTGTGTTAGCACAACACACACCAGCACTGAGAAAGTAATCAGTAAAATCACTGCAGGCATTCATAGTGTATGCACATTGCATCTCCACCCTCCTGAATATCTACTGATTCTGAATTTGTAATGCTTGTTTTGCAGCATTTTTCACGCCCATTATCTGTCTTCTGTTGCTTTAAAAACATTTTATTAATACACACTGTTTCCCCACATTTAAATAGGCATATGAAAACCAGTCCAAACGTGTCCAACTCCCCAATCGACTTCATGTCTAGTACACTGGGTTCTGATTTGGGAACCACTCTCCTTTCTGAAGACGAGGAGGAAGAGGAGGAGGAGGATGAAAGATATGCTGTGGTGTCAAAGAATTTGTGTGGCTTTGAATACACTCCTGGTCACAGCATGGATAACCTTGAGGGCTCAGGTAAAAATGTTTTAAAAATTAATTGCTGTCTTCATTTTTAAGTGAATAGACCACTGAGTCATTGAGACTATGAGGTCATGCTCACATGGAAATATGGGTAAATAATAATGCATAGGTGCTGAAAATATGACAGATATTAACATGCATGCTCTAATTATATTTTTATATACCTACACCAAGTTCACCGATAGCACTTTCATTAGGAATATGGATGATTTGTGAAACCGAGGTATGATTATTACTTATTTATGGAGCCCATTTTTAATTCATAGCTTTCACTTGATGTGTTCTCACTGAAGGCATGCCACTTTTAAGAATAATATCATTCCCATGTGAGAATGTAGCTAGTAGAAGTTTTTCATCTTCGGTGTAGTCGATGAAAAGCATAATGATAAAAAGAAAGAAAGTACAACCTCTCTCAATTTCCAAATTTTACGTTGGAGGACATAACTAAAAAAACATTTTTTTAAAAATACAACCTGAGATGAACAACAATGCATTGCATATTACACCATGTAGCAAAAAATAAGCCAAAATGCTGAAGCAGTGTGTGAAAAAATAAGCCATGATTCAGTAGCTTATACAATTACCTTTAGCACCAAGTTTTAGCTGTTGGACAAATGGCCTCACATTTGACTCTAGAATACTTTGGAACACAGATGAGTCCATATTCGACTCAGTGATTGCAAGGTTCCTGGTTCCCATGGCAAACTACAAGCCCAAACTATCCCCCTTCCATTACTGTGCTTGACAACTGGTATGATGTGTTGGTGGTAATATACTGTCTTGGGCTTTTGTCAGATGTGGTGCTGGGCTGTATGGCCAAACATCTCCACTCGGAAGTCTTCAGATTATCCAGATTATCCAACTTTACAAACCTAAACCTTGCTGCCGTGTTCTTTTCGTGAGACGAGACTTTCTCCTGGCAACCTGTTTCCAAACAAACCATACATATTCAGTCTTTTTCTAATTAAACTGTCACAAACTTTAACTTTTCACATACTGACTGAGGCCTGTAGCATCTGAGATGTAGATTTTTTTCTTTTCTTTTTTTCAGTTTCTTTGAGGTGAGTTTACTGCAGAGTCCACTCCTGGGAAAATTAGCAACTGTCTTGAATGTTTTTCACTAATGAATAATTTTCTCACAGTGGAATGATGAACTTCAGATTGTTTGGAAATGGCCTCATAATGCTTTCCAGATTGATTGGCAGCAGTAACTGCTTCTCTAGGATCACTGTGGATGGTTTTCCTCCTTGGTATCGTGTTAGCACACACCTGAATTTTCCAGACTAAAACTGCTAAAAGTAGTTGCTGTTAATGCATTTGATTAGTAACCTAGTTGAGGCTATAAGTGAGGCTGTATTTAGACTTTCACACATCATTTCAACATTTTTCCTTAATTTTTGTCAAATAAATAATGGCACTATCTAATATCCCATGCATTGTTGTTCATATGAGGTTGTATTTAAATAATTTTAAGACATGCTAAGGAACAGATGATTATTTGTTATGTCCTGATACGGAAAAAGTTAGAATTGAAAGAGGGTGTGCTTTCTTTTCACCATGACTGCATATGAATGGGAGACATGTGGATATAGTTATGATTCACTGAAAGGAAACATGTGTTTTGCTGTCATCACTACTGAAAAACCACAAAAGTGTAGATTTAAAACATATAACAATACAGATGTCAAAATGCAACAAAAGGAAATCTGTCTCTTATCAGAGATTTTGAATGGGGTACTTAAGAAAAGGACGATATCAAAGAGGAGACAATTCTGCTTTTCTTGTTCATACATTCAGCCAATCTGAGAAACTGCATTCATGTCAGATAGTTTCTGAAATACATTCTTTAACTCGCAACAAGAAGAAGTGCCTTTTATGGTGGGTGACAACCAATATTGTCTTTTTAACAATATCCACTATCACACGTAAATAATGTAAAAACAGCAGTGAATAATCAAGAAAATCAGCTTTCTAACTATCCAAGGCATTGCAGATTTCTTCAAGATCAACACTCTATCTGCCAATGTGGTTGGGCCACTGAAGCTTGAAGTGAAAATGTTTTGCAGTGTGTAGCCTTGCTAATCAATTATGGGTCGGCAACACAAACACAAAAGCATAAAATGGATCATTTAATCACATGCATGCAAGCCCCCCCGTACACTGTTCTGGTCTTTTAGGACATTGATTGGTCGTTTGGACCGCGATTTGCGCGCAATGTGATGCAGACAATACATTTGGGCAAATGTAAAACAGTTTCATCATCTCAAGGATATTCAGATAGTTTAGGGTTAACCATTAATACCTCTTTATTCTTTTTCAAAGAAATATTAAGACAGTCTGTTAAAAGCTGCTTGAAGTCCTCCGTGGATAGATGTCAAAGCAATAATATATGATATTTCAACATCTTTAGTAGGGCTCTACTGAAAAGAAACACATCTTGCATTTAAGATTTGATGCATTTATAAATAGGTTTACTGTGTGAAAATGTTTCTTTAAAGAGAAACTTGATGGCTTCTCCCACAGGGACAGGATTGTACCATTTTTAGACTCCATTGTTTGAAAGGTTAAAATTGAAATGTGAATTGAGAATATGTGTTTTTTAAGCCCTTTTATTAACCCATTGCAGGGCAAAATGCAGATCAGTGTGACTAAAAATATTTACCAACATTAGCAATGCAAACATTTTATGAACTCATATTTAGCTGTCAAGAGTTCTTCCTATTTTAGAAGTGCATTCAGTCACAGCGAGGGAATTATTTCAGTCCAGTGAATCAAAACATGAATAAGGTTTTTTTGTGGTGGCAGTATTTCCACAGCGGCTGCCATATTGCATTTGTGGAGTACTTCTTTAAATAGTTTATTTATTTATTTTCAAATGCTTGTCTGGTTTTAGAGCTTGATTTTATTGTCACTCAAACAAAGAAAAACAGTTCTGTACTCTGATTCTGGCATTCAGTAGCAATATGCTCTCATACCTTCTGTTTCGACATCACATATAGGCTAGGATGTAGAACAGACAGTTTTTGAAATTTCTAGTATTTGTTGATTTCAATCGCAGCTTTGAGTTCCGCTATCGTTCCAACTGACACGTTTGGCTTGTCAATAGATCTGCTGATCCTCTATGGGTTTTCCAAATACTTGGTTTTGAATTCATACCCAAACCTTAATATTCAATAACTGTCTCATTTCGGTCCATTATAGGTAAGGCCTCTGAGCAGTGTCTCTCAGACAGCTTTGGCACAGCAGACCATGGTACACAAGGCTCGCATAGCCTTGGACACAAGAGGGCGCCACTCACTGCTAACAAGCCTCAGACAGACAAGGTTGGAACTCTTCCCAGACGAAGAGACGCTAACACAGACGGTGAGTCTGGACTTTAATACCCCCAGCTATTACTTTTTATTTATTTTAAGTCTTTTTAGTACATTTAATGAGAATGCCCATATCGTGACGTCTGATTCGTATCCTTTGCCAAACACCCTGATCTACCATCCACTCAATAGCCCACACACCAGCCATGAAGTCCCTGCACGGCATGGGTTCCCACATGCACAGTTCGTGGGCAGCTGCTCCCTCAGACCCCTCTGAGGAGTGCATGGTGAGTGTGTCCACGCTGGAGCGGCAGCATATGGCATCCTGGAGTGGCACGACATCATCCAGCAGGGCCACCCTGAGTAGGGGTTCAAACAAGAGAGCTGGCATAGAACCCTCCCACAACGGGCATCCTTCCACAAACGGCACAGAGAAAAGGGAACACTGTGAGTGTTCATCCTCAAAAGGATCTACTGTATTTGTGTGTGTGTGTGTGTGTGTGTGTGTGTGTGTGTGTGTACACATGTGTGCACATTACAAATATTGGATATCTCTTGTAAAGCAAACACAAGCAAGAAAGTAATAACATGCAAGTTTTCATGAATTCTGATGCATTTAATAATTTTCACTCTGCAAAGATTAACATTAGACAGGTTCAGTTATATACTATATATATACTACATACACTGATCAGACACAACATTAAAACCACTTCCGTAATACCGTTTAACCTCTAAATATGACTAGTAGCATGTAAAGATAAGGCTCCCATAGATTGGACTTTTTCCAGGACATCCTTCAGATGCTCAGTTGAGTTGAGATCTGGAAAATTTGGAGGACAGTTAGAAAACTTTAACCCTAGTCTTGAATGAAATTTACGGTATGAAGGAATCATCAATCAAATTAAAGGGGACATGAAGGGGTGTAGATAGTCTGTAAGAATGTTTAGGCAGTTGATAAATGTTAAAGGATCAACTACATGAGTGCATTGGCCAGAGCATCACTCTTCCAATGTATAATAGCTTCCTGTTATGCACCAGTGTCTTTCCTGCATAACAGGGAAACACACCTCACTGAAAATGTGATGTATAAGATCAGGCCACCAAGCATATAGATCCATTGTGTTTTCACCTTTCTCTCATAAGCAGCCTTAAGGCTTTCAGCAGTGGATGCTACAGGTTAGAATTCACTCTTCATGCAACCAGTTCAAACTTATCTTTTGTTGTATTTTTTGTATGTAATGTTCAAAACGTAGCATCTCAGTCATGTGGGATCAACTGACAGGACTGAGATGCTCTGACCAGTAGTGTAGCCATACCATTTTGGCTATTGGCAATGTTCCTGACACTCTTATGCTTGCCAGTTTTTCCTAAATCTAACAAACACTAAGTGTTCTCTGGAACAATATACCACATTCAAGGGTTTGCAATATTAGCAGTGATGTTATATTCTACTAACAGTGAACCCCAAAGTTAAAAAGGCTGTTCCTATGAATGGTAAAATTCAGTTAAAAGAAATCTGGTAGAATCTGGTGGAAGGGGAATAATAAAATAAAGTCAGATCACCTGGGATTTTTTTTATTATTAAATTCTATACATAACCTAGAAAAAACAAAAACAAATACAGTTTTGGTATAGATTGAACAAAATCTTTTGTCTTGTCACCTCAGACACATCCTGAGAGTGGCAGCTGAAAATCCAGATTGTGAGAGTAAAGTTTTTTATATCATCCAGACTTTACATTGTTTCCTTTGTGTCTGTCTGTCTTTCTTTCAGAGTTTATGTGAAGCATCATTCCCCGCAGTTGCTGCCTGTCCCAGGACACCTTGTTTATAAGCGCTATGAGATTTTTCTCTGCGAGTGACACTGTATGTTTGGAAAATGGAGACAGAATAAAGACAAAGAAGCAAAATTGTGCAGGATAAAATGCAGAGCTGTAAATGTCATGTACAGACACAGACACCACTCTCACAGTGTTATTTTCATCCCCCTCTTCAAAAGAGTAAACAGTGCGTTATGTGTCCGCTTCTATTTTCTGTCACATGGTGTACAACAATTCACACAGTGGAGATGAGGAAGAAAACACACAACTAACAAAATGACTAATGATTCAAATGAAAACGGACTTGCATAATTTGTAAATAGATTTTTTAATGTTTTTCTCTTTCTTTTGCTTTGCTATGCAAGCCAAACCCAATGTTGTCTTTTTTTGTGATTTATTACCATGAGTCCTTTTTTTCATTAATGCTCAAACTGTTAGCTTGTTTTGATGAAGCTACTGTATCATTGTATTTTTGCACAGAGCATTTTGGTGAAAATAAGCACAAACCCATTGTCAGCTAAGCTGAGGAGGAGAATCATAATGGCAAAGAGGGGAATCGAGAACATAAACAAAAAGACATGTATACTTGGCTGTGCTGTATTTTTTGTTTTTTTGAGAAATGTTCATCTATTGAGAATTATGAGGCAAAAAACACAGGCGAAAACTAATATGCCAAAATAACTAACTGTGTTTCATACTTCTTTTGCTGGGAAACCTATTATGCATTATACTAAAAATGTTTCTCAACAAATGGTTAATAGAAGATTTTGTATGGTAACCAAGTAACACATCAGCTGTGATATCCAAAGCAAACACAAATGGAAATATACTTCTCTGCCATTCCCAGCATTAATCTCTTAATACATATTTATATATATATATCTGTTCCTTTTACAGTTACATCCAGTGACATGATGATAGTGCAATATTTAAAAATACAATATGACAGTTTGTGAAATGAGAAGATGACAGGAATTTGGAGCAGGTCACCTATAATGCATTGGATAGATTAATTAAAAATGTCCAATGTCACTTGTAGAGAAATAGGATGTTTTAATGACATGTGTTTATGATGTTAAACATCAAAGAAATGATACTGTTCAAATTTGTTGTTATGAACGACAGAGCAGAATGGTTATGGATTTCCACTATCATCAACATGTATAGACTTGAATGACTGCCAAATTGAAAGATGTTTTGTAAAGTTTTAAAAAAAATACAGCCAATTATCATTTTCTGCCAGTGAGATTGGGAATGTGATGTCTTTACATTTGTTTGGATGGTTATGTTCTGACCGTTGTTCTGGTAATGGCTCTCCCTATGAAGAATCTTTATGCCAGATTGGTTTGCCCTCAGGAATACACAGCCACATACAGTAGGGCCATTTTTTTTTCCAATCCTATGATGCAAAATAAAATGTGTATGTGAAAATTAACAAATTCTCTTCTCACAATTGCCTGAGTTTGAAATATGATTTGTTTTTAACAAGAAATGCCCATTTTGGATTTTTCTGAAACAATTAACCTATTTTTACATTACAAATGGTTTTAAAATATACTCCACAGTTACAGTGTAAACTAAAGAAATGTCATTCTTTCTCTCTCTCTCTCTATATATATATATATATATATATATATATATATATATATATATATATATATATATATATATATATATATATATATACACACACATATACAGTGGGGCAAAAAAGTATTTAGTCAGCCACCAATTGTGCAAGTTCCCCCACTTAAAATGATGACAGAGGTCAGTAATTTGCACCAGAGGTACACTTCAACTGTGAGAGACAGAATGTGAAAAAAAAATCCATGAATCCACATGGTAGGATTTGTAAAGAATTTATTCGTGAATCAGGGTGGAAAATAAGTATTTGGTCAATAACAAAAATACAACTCAATACTTTGTAACATAACCTTTGTTGGCAATAACAGAGGTCAAACGTTTACTATAGGTCTTTACCAGGTTTGCACACACAGTAGCTGGTATTTTGGCCCATTCCTCCATGCAGATCTTCTCGAGAGCAGTGATGTTTTGGGGCTGTCGCCGAGCAACACGGACTTTCAACTCCCGCCACAGATTTTCTATGGGGTTGAGGTCTGGATACTGGCTAGGCCACTCCAGGACTTTCAAATGCTTCTTACGGAGCCACTCCTTTGTTGCCCGGGCGGTGTGTTTTGGATCATTGTCATGTTGGAAGACCCAGCCTCGTTTCATCTTCAAAGTTCTCACTGATGGAAGGAGGTTTTGGCTCAAAATCTCACGATACATGGCCCCATTCATTCTGTCCTTAACACGGATCAGTCGTTCTGTCCCCTTGGCAGAAAAACAGCCCCATAGCATGATGTTTCCACCCCCATGCTTCACAGTAGGTATGGTGTTCTTGGGATGCAACTCAGTATTCTTCTTCCTCCAAACACGACGAGTTGAGTTTATACCAAAAAGTTCTACTTTGGTTTCATCTGACCACATGACATTCTCCCAATCCTCTGCTGTATCATCCATGTGCTCTCTGGCAAACTTCAGACGGGCCTGGACATGCACTGGCTTCAGCAGCGGAACACGTCTGGCACTGCGGGATTTGATTCCCTGCCGTTGTAGTGTGTTACTGATGGTGACCTTTGTTACTTTGGTCCCAGCTCTCTGCAGGTCATTCACCAGGTCCCCCCGTGTGGTTCTGGGATCTTTGCTCACCGTTCTCATGATCATTTTGACCCCACGGGATGAGATCTTGCGTGGAGCCCCAGATCGAGGGAGATTATCAGTGGTCTTGTATGTCTTCCATTTTCTGATGATTGCTCCCACAGTTGATTTTTCACACCAAGCTGCTTGCCTATTGTAGATTCACTCTTCCCAGTCTGGTGTAGGTCTACAATACTTTTCCTGGTGTCCTTCGAAAGCTCTTTGGTCTTGGCCATGGCGGAGTTTGGAGTCTGACTGTTTGAGGCTGTGGACAGGTGTCTTTTATACAGATGATGAGTTCAAACAGGTGCCATTCATACAGGTAACGAGTGGGGGACAGAAAAGCTTCTTACAGAAGACGTTACAGGTCTGTGAGAGCCAGAGATTTTCCTTGTTTGAGGTGACCAAATACTTATTTTCCACCCTAATTTACGAATAAATTCTTTACAAATCCTACCATGTGGATTCATTTTTTTTCACATTCTGTCTCTCACAGTTGAAGTGTACCTCTGGTGCAAATTACTGACCTCTGTCATCATTTTAAGTGGGGGAACTTGCACAATCGGTGGCTGACTAAATACTTTTTTGCCCCACTGTGTGTGTGTGTATATATATATATATATATATATATATATATATATATATATATATATATATATATATATATATATATATTATAGGGGTCCAACGATACTCGTATCGATATTGAACCGTTCGATACAGTGCTTTCGGTTTGGTACGCATATGTATCGAACAATATAAAATTTTTAATTTATTTTATCAACTTTCCTTCTGACGATGCTGTCTGTGTTGAGAGCTCAGTGGATCTGCGTTCGACTACTCCGCCTAGGTTGCACTGCCGAGCGCAGATTCACTGAGCGCAGCACAAGCTAGCAAGACAGAAGCTAAGCTCGTTGCAACATGGCAAATTGAACCTCCCCCACCCTCATTCAGATCTGGCGTTTGGAACTATTTTGGTTTTCATGTGAAGTATGACACTGAAGGTAAGCGCGTCATGGACAAAAGTAAAACAGTATGTCGGATGTGCCACGCAATGCTCAATTACATGGGTGGGAACTAGTGCGTTAGAGCAGTTTGCTCGTTAACGTGTTGACGCCATCCAGCCCCACGCACGGGCGATCCGCTGTAGCTTGTTAACGGAGATTTGCCGTGTTGTGGCGTTAACGTCATTTCAGATTAACGCTGACAGCACTAGTGGGAATACAATGAATATGACTGCACATTTACGCCGACATCATCCTAGTGCAAAGACAAGTGGAAGCAGACAAAAACAACAAGCATGCATGCTACAAACTTTACCCGAGTCATTTAGACAGCCGTTAGCACATGATTCTCCTTATGGGGACCTGATATGTTTAATATGCTGCTGAGAATATAGCCCAGAAGAAGCGTATAGTATAGCTTTTATTTTGGAAAGAGCCATTTCTCTGTAATAAACTCTCGTTTCCAAAAATGAGTGATTTCTCGATCAGATAGATTTATTTTTTTATTACTTTGTTGTTTCAGCAACATCAGAATTTAAAAAAGGTACTTTTGAGTTAAAATATATATTTATAATTTTAATAAATGACAAATTAAAAAAGCATGAACACTCTTTTGTATCTCAAAAAATATCAAACCGTGACACCAAAGTATCGAACCGAACCGTGAATTTTGTGTATCGTTGCACCCCTAATAAATAAAAAAAAATATATATATATATGTATATGTATATATATATATATATATATATATATATATATATATATATATATATATATAAATAAGCAAGCTATGGTAAATTGTTTAAATTATCCAGGGAATCATAAAACAAACTTTAGAAACCACGCCAATTGTTCTTCAGCAATAATTCAAAAATAAGCTGCACACCAGTGCATAAATGTAAAAAAAAAAGATGTATTATAAACAGTGTAACATCAATGTATCTACTTTTATAGGCATACCTGTATATGTAAAAATAGTGTACCCACAAACACTGGCTTGTCTGGCGTATCTTAAAAAAACAACAAAAAAATACCTCTTTGCCTTCTTGTTAACTTTATCTGACGCTGGTTTTTTTTTTCAGAGTTTCAGGCTCAACTTCCATCATCATTATCTCGGGACCCCATGACAGCTCCATGTTACATAGAGATAGCTTCTTTTGTTGTTGCTGGAGTCGATCAGCATTGTGGAGAGTTGCTTCAGGCAATGGTGCAATAGGTGCTATGCACAGGGTGGGCTAACCTGTCAGCATTAGTAACTTGGAAATGGATGGACAGGCTGCAGATACTGTGCAGACAAGGAGTACAATGTTCAATTGACCATTTAAACGCTATATCCAACTGCTTAGGTTTCCAGAAGCGCCACAAGGACAGATAAATTAGCATCATGTTGACAATTTTGTCACACTTTCACTCAATTTAGCTACCTATCATCCCATCACAAGGACAACCCAGCACACAGACACAATCCCATCACCAAATGTGACTCCTCCTAATTTACCCAATTTGTACTACATGTGACTTTAATACAGGAGCAGACTCACAACCTAGCCCACAGAGCCCAATTACAAGGTCCCTGCATTTCAATACCTACACCTCAGTCTGATAAAAGCTATACATTAATATATCGGTCTAGCGGTGATGTTGCTGACTTTGTGGGTCATTATGGCTTTTGGTTCAATAAAAATTCAGTTTACTGTAACAAATTTATTGCTGAGATACATTCTCAGCCCTCAGGGGACCGATTTGGCCTGAAACTGCTGCACTTCTTCAGATATTGCTGCGAACAAATGAAAACTACTCATAATGAAGTCCCTGTTTTACTGTGGTACAAGTAGTAATAATGACAACAAAACAGCTAAAACAATTTGATTACAAAAAATGAAATAATCCACTCTGCATATTATTTGAACTCTAGTGTAGTAATAACACTATTATGAGAAAACAACACTGAACTGATTATAGAAGCTATATTTCATTTCTTAATGGAAAATCCATTTGGAAGTAATCTACTGGGTAAAAAGTTAAGTGTTCAGAGGAATCGTTGGTGGTTTGCAGGCTTGGCCACACTGTTGAATAAGTTTTATCTTTTAAGGATGTGTAGAGTATATGTTTTATAACGTTTTGTATTTATAATAAATCGTAGGGCTTGAGATGTTATAGCTCTTCCAGCTTTTGGAGGGGATCTGTGCTACCACAAACTATGAAGCGCCTTGAGGCGACTTTTGTTGTGATTTGGCGCTATACAAATAAAATTGAATTGAATTGAACTAGCCAGGTTGTAGGTTGTTAGTAATTTCAGCTTGGTTTGTCACTTTAAACAGCAAAAGAGAAATATTAACAGTCTGCTATTTACACTGACAAAGTCAGCCTCACACAGTTCCTGTTAGTAGACATTTTTATTTAAGCTAATGTAAACATGTAAAGCGAAATTAACACATTTCAGTACAGGATATTCATATCTGTGGCGCTTTCACCCCAGAGCAGAGACAATTTTAGACACATGAAATGTCAGAAAAATCCATTTTCAGAGGAAATGTGGATAGAGTAATTAAAGAGCTTGTAAAGAGCCACTGTATAAATTGAAATGCAAAGAACATTATAAAGTCCAATATAAGCTGGTATCAGAGTGAGCTGCATTCATTATAATGCATTTTTGGTTTAGAAATAGTGTACATGACAGCTCAACCTTACACTAATTACACAGTAGCTGTTCAGATAGCACATGAACAGC